ATCAAGTTAAATGTGAGGAGCTTGGAACATAAAAGTTGAAGTCCATTATAAAGACCTAACTAAATTTGTATAAAAAGCACTTAACAATGTCTTTTGTACCTGTTTTATGTCACATAATATCTTTCTTTTCTTCTGTAGGATAGCAAGTGGTTCAAATATAAGCCTGTTGAGACTAAAATTGCATGCATGTTTTTCACTAAAAAGTGAAAAATCTTTGTATCAGACCATACTGTCTGCAAAAAAAGTTGAATGCAAGAGTCTTTTTGTGCTCAGATTTATTGTATCATGTCACCTGAGTATAGAAATGATAGAAAAGACACAAAATTTTATTTCCTATAGCTTCAATATGCATTTTTAAATGTAAATATGTGATACGGCCTAAATTGACCCTAAATTATTTTCAGTCTTACTTGGCCTAAGACCCTTTTAAACTAATGTGATATGTTATTTGTAAGTTTTCTTTCCATTTAAAGTACATTAAATACATATGTAAGGATTATTTATAACCAAAAAGCTTTACAAATTTAAAATTGCTGGAAAATATTACATCTTCATGTAAGGCCCCCCTTCATTGGAAAACCTCCATTTTTAGCCACAGGCTCATATAAATTTGACTTTTTAATAATTATGATTAGTCTGATAAATCAAATGAGTACTCTATTGCTTTTAATACATAATATATTATATATTAAGGCATTTCAAAAGTATTTTTTTGCAATATTTTAATTTTTTAAGCCCCAAATGTTGATAGTTGAAAATTTTCAATTTTAACGTCTAAATTTAATATGCAAAGTTGAATATAGAATTAGTCATATTGTCTATAATATAAATCCTATTGCCATGAAACTTTGTAAGCAGTCTTATAATTTAATAAGCTTTGGTCATACCAAGTTTCATTAAGATTGGTCAAATTTTTCTACCCTAAGAGGTGAAATCAGGAAATATAGAATCTGTACTTTGGCAACTCCCCTGAATGATTTGATGGTGTCAATTTATCAAATAGCATAAAACTAAAGGATTTAAACTTTTATTTGATAGAATTTCTGCAAAAATGACCAATTTTGGCATTTTATGGTCAAAATAAGCATTTCATAGCTTTTTCAATTTTGATGCATAAGTGGCATTCTGACTTTCTATCTGACAGGTTTTTATGTGTCAATATTTGTGTTTCTATGCTTCAATCCAGTTGTATTACTCATTTGTGAACTCTGAATCTACAGAAAAGAAGATTATCTCGGACAATATGTGCAAAATGTGTTGTATATATGATCCTCGTCTAACGCCCTGTTTGGATCAAGTTAAATGTGAGGAGCTTGGAACAAAAAAGTTGAAGTCCATTATAAAGACCTAACTAAATTTGTATAAAAAGCACTTAACAATGTCTTTTGTACCTGTTTTATGTCACATAATATCTTTCTTTTCTTCTGTAGGATAGCAAGTGGTTCAAATATAAGCCTGTTGAGACTAAAATTGCATGCATGTTTTTCACTAAAAAGTGAAAAATCTTTGTATCAGACCATACTGTCTGCAAAAAAAGTTGAATGCAAGAGTCTTTTTGTGCTCAGATTTATTGTATCATGTCACCTGAGTATAGAAATGATAGAAAAGACACAAAATTTTATTTCCTATAGCTTCAATATGCATTTTTAAATGTAAATATGTGATACGGCCTAAATTGACCCTAAATTATTTTCAGTCTTACTTGGCCTAAGACCCTTTTAAACTAATGTGATATGTTATTTGTAAGTTTTCTTTCCATTTAAAGTACATTAAATACATATGTAAGGATTATTTATAACCAAAAAGCTTTACAAATTTAAAATTGCTGGAAAATATTACATCTTCATGTAAGGCCCCCCTTCATTGGAAAACCTCCATTTTTAGCCACAGGCTCATATAAATTTGACTTTTTAATAATTATGATTAGTCTGATAAATCAAATGAGTACTCTATTGCTTTTAATACATAATATATTATATATTAAGGCATTTCAAAAGTATTTTTTTGCAATATTTTAATTTTTTAAGCCCCAAATGTTGATAGTTGAAAATTTTCAATTTTAACGTCTAAATTTAATATGCAAAGTTGAATATAGAATTAGTCATATTGTCTATAATATAAATCCTATTGCCACGAAACTTTGTAAGCAGTCTTATAATTTAATAAGCTTTGGTCATACCAAGTTTCATTAAGATTGGTCAAATTTTTCTACCCTAAGAGGTGAAATCAGGAAATATAGAATCTGTACTTTGGCAACTCCCCTGAATGATTTGATGGTGTCAATTTATCAAATAGCATAAAACTAAAGGATTTAAACTTTTATTTGATAGAATTTCTGCAAAAATGACCAATTTTGGCATTTTATGGTCAAAATAAGCATTTCATAGCTTTTTCAATTTTGATGCATAAGTGGCATTCTGACTTTCTATCTGACAGGTTTTTATGTGTCAATATTTGTGTTTCTATGCTTCAATCCAGTTGTATTACTCATTTGTGAACTCTGAATCTACAGAAAAGAAGATTATCTCGGACAATATGTGCAAAATGTGTTGTATATATGATCCTCGTCTAACGCCCTGTTTGGATCAAGTTAAATGTGAGGAGCTTGGAACAAAAAAGTTGAAGTCCATTATAAAGACCTAACTAAATTTGTATAAAAAGCACTTAACAATGTCTTTTGTACCTGTTTTATGTCACATAATATCTTTCTTTTCTTCTGTAGGATAGCAAGTGGTTCAAATATAAGCCTGTTGAGACTAAAATTGCATGCATGTTTTTCACTAAAAAGTGAAAAATCTTTGTATCAGACCATACTGTCTGCAAAAAAAGTTGAATGCAAGAGTCTTTTTGTGCTCAGATTTATTGTATCATGTCACCTGAGTATAGAAATGATAGAAAAGACACAAAATTTTATTTCCTATAGCTTCAATATGCATTTTTAAATGTAAATATGTGATACGGCCTAAATTGACCCTAAATTATTTTCAGTCTTACTTGGCCTAAGACCCTTTTAAACTAATGTGATATGTTATTTGTAAGTTTTCTTTCCATTTAAAGTACATTAAATACATATGTAAGGATTATTTATAACCAAAAAGCTTTACAAATTTAAAATTGCTGGAAAATATTACATCTTCATGTAAGGCCCCCCTTCATTGGAAAACCTCCATTTTTAGCCACAGGCTCATATAAATTTGACTTTTTAATAATTATGATTAGTCTGATAAATCAAATGAGTACTCTATTGCTTTTAATACATAATATATTATATATTAAGGCATTTCAAAAGTATTTTTTTGCAATATTTTAATTTTTTAAGCCCCAAATGTTGATAGTTGAAAATTTTCAATTTTAACGTCTAAATTTAATATGCAAAGTTGAATATAGAATTAGTCATATTGTCTATAATATAAATCCTATTGCCATGAAACTTTGTAAGCAGTCTTATAATTTAATAAGCTTTGGTCATACCAAGTTTCATTAAGATTGGTCAAATTTTTCTACCCTAAGAGGTGAAATCAGGAAATATAGAATCTGTACTTTGGCAACTCCCCTGAATGATTTGATGGTGTCAATTTATCAAATAGCATAAAACTAAAGGATTTAAACTTTTATTTGATAGAATTTCTGCAAAAATGACCAATTTTGGCATTTTATGGTCAAAATAAGCATTTCATAGCTTTTTCAATTTTGATGCATAAGTGGCATTCTGACTTTCTATCTGACAGGTTTTTATGTGTCAATATTTGTGTTTCTATGCTTCAATCCAGTTGTATTACTCATTTGTGAACTCTGAATCTACAGAAAAGAAGATTATCTCGGACAATATGTGCAAAATGTGTTGTATATATGATCCTCGTCTAACGCCCTGTTTGGATCAAGTTAAATGTGAGGAGCTTGGAACAAAAAAGTTGAAGTCCATTATAAAGACCTAACTAAATTTGTATAAAAAGCACTTAACAATGTCTTTTGTACCTGTTTTATGTCACATAATATCTTTCTTTTCTTCTGTAGGATAGCAAGTGGTTCAAATATAAGCCTGTTGAGACTAAAATTGCATGCACGTTTTTCACTAAAAAGTGAAAAATCTTTGTATCAGACCATACTGTCTGCAAAAAAAGTTGAATGCAAGAGTCTTTTTGTGCTCAGATTTATTGTATCATGTCACCTGAGTATAGAAATGATAGAAAAGACACAAAATTTTATTTCCTATAGCTTCAATATGCATTTTTAAATGTAAATATGTGATACGGCCTAAATTGACCCTAAATTATTTTCAGTCTTACTTGGCCTAAGACCCTTTTAAACTAATGTGATATGTTATTTGTAAGTTTTCTTTCCATTTAAAGTACATTAAATACATATGTAAGGATTATTTATAACCAAAAAGCTTAACAAATTTAAAATTGCTGGAAAATATTACATCTTCATGTAAGGCCCCCTTTCATTGGAAAACCTCCATTTTTAGCCACAGGCTCATATAAATTTGACTTTTTAATAATTATGATTAGTCTGATAAATCAAATGAGTACTCTATTGCTTTTAATACATAATATATTATATATTAAGGCATTTCAAAAGTATTTTTTTGCAATATTTTAATTTTTTTAGCCCCAAATGTTGATAGTTGAAAATTTTCAATTTTAACGTCTAAATTTAATATGCAAAGTTGAATATAGAATTAGTCATATTGTCTATAATATAAATCCTATTGCCATGAAACTTTGTAAGCAGTCTTATAATTTAATAAGCTTTGGTCATACCAAGTTTCATTAAGATTGGTCAAATTTTTCTACCCTAAGAGGTGAAATCAGGAAATATAGAATCTGTACTTTGGCAACTCCCCTGAATGATTTGATGGTGTCAATTTATCAAATAGCATAAAACTAAAGGATTTAAACTTTTATTTGATAGAATTTCTGCAAAAATGACCAATTTTGGCATTTTATGGTCAAAATAAGCATTTCATAGCTTTTTCAATTTTGATGCATAGGTGGCATTCTGACTTTCTATCTGACAGGTTTTTATGTGTCAATATTTGTGTTTCTATGCTTCAATCCAGTTGTATTACTCATTTGTGAACTCTGAATCTACAGAAAAGAAGATTATCTCGGACAATATGTGCAAAATGTGTTGTATATATGATCCTCGTCTAACGCCCTGTTTGGATCAAGTTAAATGTGAGGAGCTTGGAACAAAAAAGTTGAAGTCCATTATAAAGACCTAACTAAATTTGTATAAAAAGCACTTAACAATGTCTTTTGTACCTGTTTTATGTCACATAATATCTTTCTTTTCTTCTGTAGGATAGCAAGTGGTTCAAATATAAGCTTGTTGAGACTAAAATTGCATGCACGTTTTTCACTAAAAAGTGAAAAATCTTTGTATCAGACCATACTGTCTGCAAAAAAAGTTGAATGCAAGAGTCTTTTTGTGCTCAGATTTATTGTATCATGTCACCTGAGTATAGAAATGATAGAAAAGACACAAAATTTTATTTCCTATAGCTTCAATATGCATTTTTAAATGTAAATATGTGATACGGCCTAAATTGACCCTAAATTATTTTCAGACTTACTTGGCCTAAGACCCTTTTAAACTAATGTGATATGTTATTTGTAAGTTTTCTTTCCATTTAAAGTACATTAAATACATATGTAAGGATTATTTATAACCAAAAAGCTTTACAAATTTAAAATTGCTGGAAAATATTACATCTTCATGTAAGGCCCCCCTTCATTGGAAAACCTCCATTTTTAGCCACAGGCTCATATAAATTTGACTTTTTAATAATTATGATTAGTCTGATAAATCAAATGAGTACTCTATTGCTTTTAATACATAATATATTATATATTAAGGCATTTCAAAAGTATTTTTTTGCAATATTTTAATTTTTTAAGCCCCAAATGTTGATAGTTGAAAATTTTCAATTTTAACGTCTAAATTTAATACGCACAGTTGAATATAGAATTAGTCATATTGTCTATAATATAAATCCTATTGCCATAAAACTTTGTAAGCAGTCTTATAATTTAATAAGCTTTGGTCATACCAAGTTTCATTAAGAATGGTCAACTTTTTCTACCCTACTAGGTCCGGGTACACAGTTATCGTCCTTTGATTTTCGTTTTCCACGAATAAAGTCCCTAGTGTGGACAGTGTGTTACTTGTCTATTTTTTTTATACCCCTTCCAAATTTATTTCTCCATGTTTTATGACTCAAATAATAAGTAGGGGGGTGAAATGACACTGTAAAAAAATTTGGGTCATGAATTTTAAAGTAAAGTAGTGATTTGGTGCAGCTGAAAAATGTTAAAAATTAGCACTTCGGAAGCTGTCAGAAGATTTGAAGACCCCCTTAACATGAAATTGTCCATATTTTGAGTTAGAGCCGATGAAGTTTTCTATAATTTTGATATAATTTGTCCCAAAAGTAGTACAACACACTGTAAAAATATAATTGAGAAAGCGCAGGTGGGATGTTTTTAATTTTTATTTATTGTCTAAAAGAAATGCACTACGAAATAACTGTGTACTCGGACCTAAGAGGTGAAATCAGGAAATATAGAATCTGTACTTTGGCAACTTCCCTGAATGATTTGATGGTGTCAATTTATCAAATAGCATAAAACTAAAGGATTTAAACTTTTATTTGATATAATTTCTGCAAAAATGACCAATTTTGGCATTTTATGGTCAAAATAAGCATTTCATAGCTTTTTCAATTTTGATGCATAAGTTGCATTCTGACTTTCTATCTGACAGGTTTTTATGTGTCAATATTTGTGTTTCTATGCTTCAATCCAGTTGTATTACTCATTTGTGAACTCTGAATCTACAGAAAAGAAGATTATCTCGCACAATATGTGCAAAATGTGTTGTATATATGATCCTCGTCTAACGCCCTGTTTGGATCAAGTTAAATGTGAGGAGCTTGGAACATAAAAGTTGAAGTCCATTATAAAGACCTAACTAAATTTGTATAAAAAGCACTTAACAATGTCTTTTGTACCTGTTTTATGTCACATAATATCTTTCTTTTCTTCTGTAGGATAGCAAGTGGTTCAAATATAAGCCTGTTGAGACTAAAATTGCATGCATGTTTTTCACTAAAAAGTGAAAAATCTTTGTATCAGACCATACTGTCTGCAAAAAAAGTTGGATACAAGAGTCTTTTTGTGCTCAGATTTATTGTATCATGTCACCTGAGTATAGAAATGATAGAAAAGACACAAAATTTTATTTCCTATAGCTTCAATATGCATTTTTAACTGTAAATATGTGATACGGCCTTAATTGACCCTAAATTATTTTCAGTCTTACTTGGCCTAAGACCCTTTTAAACTAATGTGATATGTTATTTGTAAGTTTTCTTTCCATTTAAAGTACATTAAATACATATGTAAGGATTATTTATAACCAAAAAGCTTTACAAATTTAAAATTGCTGGAAAATATTACATCTTCATGTAAGGCCCCCCTTCATTGGAAAACCTCCATTTTTAGCCACAGGCTCATATAAATTTGACTTTTTAATAATTATGATTAGTCTGATAAATCAAATGAGTACTCTATTGCTTTTAATACATAATATATTATATATTAAGGCATTTCAAAAGTATTTTTTTGCAATATTTTAATTTTTTAAGCCCCAAATGTTGATAGTTGAAAATTTTCAATTTTAACGTCTAAATTTAATACGCAAAGTTGAATATAGAATTAGTCATATTGTCTATAATATAAATCCTATTGCCATGAAACTTTGTAAGCAGTCTTATAATTTAATAAGCTTTGGTCATACCAAGTTTCATTAAGATTGGTCAACTTTTTCTACCCTACTAGGTGAAATCAGGAAATATAGAATCTGTACTTTGGCAACTTCCCTGAATGATTTGATGGTGTCAATTTATCAAATAGCATAAAACTAAAGGATTTAAACTTTTATTTGATAGAATTTCTGCAAAAATGACCAATTTTGGCATTTTATGGTCAAAATAAGCATTTCATAGCTTTTTCAATTTTGATGCATAAGTGGCATTCTGACTTTCTATCTGACAGGTTTTTATGTGTCAATATTTGTGTTTCTATGCTTCAATCCAGTTGTATTACTCATTTGTGAACTCTGAATCTACAGAAAAGAAGATTATCTCGGACAATATGTGCAAAATGTGTTGTATATATGATCCTCCTCTAACGCCCTGTTTGGATCAAGTTAAATGTGAGGAGCTTGGAACATAAAAGTTGAAGTCCATTATAAAGACCTAACTAAATTTGTATAAAAAGCACTTAACAATAACTTTTGTACCTGTTTTATGTCACATAATATCTTTCTTTTCTTCTGTAGGATAGCAAGTGGTTCAAATATAAGCCTGTTGAGACTAAAATTGCATGCATGTTTTTCACTAAAAAGTGAAAAATCTTTGTATCAGACCATACTGTCTGCAAAAAAAGTTGAATGCAAGAGTCTTTTTGTGCTCAGATTTATTGTATCATGTCACCTGAATATAGAAATGATAGAAAAGACACAAAATTTTATTTCCTATAGCTTCAATATGCATTTTTAAATGTAAATATGTGATACGGCCTAAATTGACCCTAAATTATTTTCAGTCTTACTTGGCCTAAGACCCTTTTAAACTAATGTGATATGTTATTTGTAAGTTTTCTTTCCATTTAAAGTACATTAAATACATATGTAAGGATTATTTATAACCAAAAAGCTTTACAAATTTAAAATTGCTGGAAAATATTACATCTTCATGTAAGGCCCCCCTTCATTGGAAAACCTCCATTTTTAGCCACAGGCTCATATAAATTTGACTTTTTAATAATTATGATTAGTCTGATAAATCAAATGAGTACTCTATTGCTTTTAATACATAATATATTATATATTAAGGCATTTCAAAAGTATTTTTTTGCAATATTTTAATTTTTTAAGCCCCAAATGTTGATAGTTGAAAATTTTCAATTTTAACGTCTAAATTTAATACGCAAAGTTGAATATAGAATTAGTCATATTGTCTATAATATAAATCCTATTGCCATGAAACTTTGTAAGCAGTCTTATAATTTAATAAGCTTTGGTCATACCAAGTTTCATTAAGATTGGTCAACTTTTTCTACCCTACTAGGTGAAATCAGGAAATATAGAATCTGTACTTTGGCAACTTCCCTGAATGATTTGATGGTGTCAATTTATCAAATAGCATAAAACTAAAGGATTTAAACTTTTATTTGGTAGAATTTCTGCAAAAATGACCAATTTTGGCATTTTATGGTAAAAATAAGCATTTCATAGCTTTTTCAATTTTGATGCATAAGTGGCATTCTGACTTTCTATCTGACAGGTTTTTATGTGTCAATATTTGTGTTTCTATGCTTCAATCCAGTTGTATTACTCATTTGTGAACTCTGAATCTACAGAAAAGAAGATTATCTCGGACAATATGTGCAAAATGTGTTGTATATATGATCCTCCTCTAACGCCCTGTTTGGATCAAGTTAAATGTGAGGAGCTTGGAACATAAAAGTTGAAGTCCATTATAAAGACCTAACTTAATTTGTATAAAAAGCACTTAACAATGTCTTTTGTACCTGTTTTATGTCACATAATATCTTTCTTTTCTTCTGTAGGATAGCAAGTGGTTCAAATATAAGCCTGTTGAGACTAAAATTGCATGCATGTTTTTCACTAAAAAGTGAAAAATCTTTGTATCAGACCATACTGTCTGCAAAAAAAGTTGAATGCAAGAGTCTTTTTGTGCTCAGATTTATTGTATCATGTCACCTGAATATAGAAATGATAGAAAAGACACAAAATTTTATTTCCTATAGCTTCAATATGCATTTTTAAATGTAAATATGTGATACGGCCTAAATTGACCCTAAATTATTTTCAGTCTTACTTGGCCTAAGACCCTTTTAAACTAATGTGATATGTTATTTGTAAGTTTTCTTTCCATTTAAAGTACATTAAATACATATGTAAGGATTATTTATAACCAAAAAGCTTTACAAATTTAAAATTGCTGGAAAATATTACATCTTCATGTAAGGCCCCCCTTCATTGGAAAACCTCCATTTTTAGCCACAGGCTCATATAAATTTGACTTTTTAATAATTATGATTAGTCTGATAAATCAAATGAGTACTCTATTGCTTTTAATACATAATATATTATATATTAAGGCATTTCAAAAGTATTTTTTTGCAATATTTTAATTTTTTAAGCCCCAAATGTTGATAGTTGAAAATTTTCAATTTTAACGTCTAAATTTAATACGCAAAGTTGAATATAGAATTAGTCATATTGTCTATAATATAAATCCTATTGCCATGAAACTTTGTAAGCAGTCTTATAATTTAATAAGCGTTGGGCATACCAAGTTTCATTAAGATTGGTCAACTTTTTCTACCCTACTAGGTGAAATCAGGAAATATAGAATCTGTACTTTGGCAACTTCCCTGAATGATTTGATGGTGTCAATTTATCAAATAGCATAAAACTAAAGGATTTAAACTTTTATTTGATAGAATTTCTGCAAAAATGACCAATTTTGGCATTTTATGGTCAAAATAAGCATTTCATAGCTTTTTCAATTTTGATGCATAAGTGGCATTCTGACTTTCTATCTGACAGGTTTTTATGTGTCAATATTTGTGTTTCTATGCTTCAATCCAGTTGTATTACTCATTTGTGAACTCTGAATCTACAGAAAAGAAGATTATCTCGGACAATATGTGCAAAATGTGTTGTATATATAGGATCCTCGTCTAACGCCCTGTTTGGATCAAGTTAAATGTGAGGAGCTTGGAACATAAAAGTTGAAGTCCATTATAAAGACCTAACTAAATTTGTATAAAAAGCACTTAACAATGTCTTTTGTACCTGTTTTATGTCACATAATATCTTTCTTTTCTTCTGTAGGATAGCAAGTGGTTCAAATATAAGCCTGTTGAGACTAAAATTGCATGCATGTTTTTCACTAAAAAGTGATAAATCTTTGTATCAGACCATACTGTCTGCAAAAAAAGTTAAATGCAAGAGTCTTTTTGTGCTCAGATTTATTGTATCATGTCACCTGAGTATAGAAATGATAGAAAAGACACAAAATTTTATTTCCTATAGCTTCAATATGCATTTTTAAATGTAAATATGTGATACGGCCTAAATTGACCCTAAATTATTTTCAGTCTTACTTGGCCTAAGACCCTTTTAAACTAATGTGATATGTTATTTGTAAGTTTTCTTTCCATTTAAAGTACATTAAATACATATGTAAGGATTATTTATAACCAAAAAGCTTTACAAATTTAAAATTGCTGGAAAATATTACATCTTCATGTAAGGCCCCCCTTCATTGGAAAACCTCCATTTTTAGCCACAGGCTCATATAAATTTGAATTTTTAATAATTATGATTAGTCTGATAAATCAAATGAGTACTCTATTGCTTTTAATACATAATATATTATATATTAAGGCATTTCAAAAGTATTTTTTTGCAATATTTTAATTTTTTAAGCCCCAAATGTTGATAGTTGAAAATTTTCAATTTTAACGTCTAAATTTAATACGCAAAGTTGAATATAGAATTAGTCATATTGCCTATAATATAAATCCTATTGCCATGAAACTTTGTAAGCAGTCTTATAATTTAATAAGCGTTGGGCATACCAAGTTTTATTAAGATTGGTCAACTTTTTCTACCCTACTAGGTGAAATCAGGAAATATAGAATCTGTACTTTGGCAACTTCCCTGAATGATTTGATGGTGTCAATTTATCAAATAGCATAAAACTAAAGGATTTAAACTTTTATTTGATAGAATTTCTGCAAAAATGACCAATTTTGGCATTTTATGGTCAAAATAAGCATTTCATAGCTTTTTCAATTTTGATGCATAAGTGGCATTCTGACTTTCTATCTGACAGGTTTTTATGTGTCAATATTTGTGTTTCTATGCTTCAATCCAGTTGTATTACTCATTTGTGAACTCTGAATCTACAGAAAAGAAGATTATCTCGGACAATATGTGCAAAATGTGTTGTATATATAGGATCCTCGTCTAACGCCCTGTTTGGATCAAGTTAAATGTGAGGAGCTTGGAACATAAAAGTTGAAGTCCATTATAAAGACCTAACTAAATTTGTATAAAAAGCACTTAACAATGTCTTTTGTACCTGTTTTATGTCACATAATATCTTTCTTTTCTTCTGTAGGATAGCAAGTGGTTCAAATATAAGCCTGTTGAGACTAAAATTGCATGCATGTTTTTCACTAAAAAGTGATAAATCTTTGTATCAGACCATACTGTCTGCAAAAAAAGTTAAATGCAAGAGTCTTTTTGTGCTCAGATTTATTGTATCATGTCACCTGAGTATAGAAATGATAGAAAAGACACAAAATTTTATTTCCTATAGCTTCAATATGCATTTTTAAATGTAAATATGTGATACGGCCTAAATTGACCCTAAATTATTTTCAGTCTTACTTGGCCTAAGACCCTTTTAAACTAATGTGATATGTTATTTGTAAGTTTTCTTTCCATTTAAAGTACATTAAATACATATGTAAGGATTATTTATAACCAAAAGGCTTTACAAATTTAAAATTGCTGGAAAATATTACATCTTCATGTAAGGCCCCCCTTCATTGGAAAACCTCCATTTTTAGCCACAGGCTCATATAAATTTGAATTTTTAATAATTATGATTAGTCTGATAAATCAAATGAGTACTCTATTGCTTTTAATACATAATATATTATATATTAAGGCATTTCAAAAGTATTTTTTTGCAATATTTTAATTTTTTAAGCCCCAAATGTTGATAGTTGAAAATTTTCAATTTTAACGTCTAAATTTAATACGCAAAGTTGAATATAGAATTAGTCATATTGTCTATAATATAAATCCTATTGCCATGAAACTTTGTAAGCAGTCTTATAATTTAATAAGCGTTGGGCATACCAAGTTTCATTAAGATTGGTCAACTTTTTCTACCCTACTAGGTGAAATCAGGAAATATAGAATCTGTACTTTGGCAACTTCCCTGAATGATTTGATGGTGTCAATTTATCAAATAGCATAAAACTAAAGGATTTAAACTTTTATTTGATAGAATTTCTGCAAAAATGACCAATTTTGGCATTTTATGGTAAAAATAAGCATTTCATAGCTTTTTCAATTTTGATGCATAAGTGGCATTCTGACTTTCTATCTGACAGGTTTTTATGTGTCAATATTTGTGTTTCTATGCTTCAATCCAGTTGTATTACTCATTTGTGAACTCTGAATCTACAGAAAAGAAAATTATCTCGGACAATATGTGCAAAATGTGTTGTATATATGATCCTCGTCTAACGCCCTGTTTGGATCAAGTTAAATGTGAGGAGCTTGGAACAAAAAAGTTGAAGTCCATTATAAAGACCTAACTAAATTTGTATAAAAAGCACTTAACAATGTCTTTTGTACCTGTTTTATGTCACATAATATCTTTCTTTTCTTCTGTAGGATAGCAAGTGGTTCAAATATAAGCCTGTTGAGACTAAAATTGCATGCATGTTTTTCACTAAAAAGTGAAAAATCTTTGTATCAGACCATACTGTCTGCAAAAAAAGTTGAATGCAAGAGTCTTTTTGTGCTCAGATTTATTGTATCATGTCACCTGAGTATAGAAATGATAGAAAAGACACAAAATTTTATTTCCTATAGCTTCAATATGCATTTTTAAATGTAAATATGTGATACGGCCTTAATTGACCCTAAATTATTTTCAGTCTTACTTGGCCTAAGACCCTTTTAAACTAATGTGATATGTTATTTGTAAGTTTTCTTTCCATTTAAAGTACATTAAATACATATGTAAGGATTATTTATAACCAAAAAGCTTTACAAATTTAAAATTGCTGGAAAATATTACATCTTCATGTAAGGCCCCCCTTCATTGGAAAACCTCCATTTTTAGCCACAGGCTCATATAAATTTGACTTTTTAATAATTATGATTAGTCTGATAAATCAAATGAGTACTCTATTGCTTTTAATACATAATATATTATATATTAAGGCATTTCAAAAGTATTTTTTTGCAATATTTTAATTTTTTAAGCCCCAAATGTTGATAGTTGAAAATTTTCAATTTTAACGTCTAAATTTAATACGCAAAGTTGAATATAGAATTAGTCATATTGTCTATAATATAAATCCTATTGCCATGAAACTTTGTAAGCAGTCTTATAATTTAATAAGCTTTGGTCATACCAAGTTTCATTAAGATTGGTCAACTTTTTCTACCCTACTAGGTGAAATCAGGAAATATAGAATCTGTACTTTGGCAACTTCCCTGAATGATTTGATGGTGTCAATTTATCAAATAGCATAAAACTAAAGGATTTAAACTTTTATTTGATAGAATTTCTGCAAAAATGACCAATTTTGGCATTTTATGGTCAAAATAAGCATTTCATAGCTTTTTCAATTTTGATGCATAAGTGGCATTCTGACTTTCTATCTGACAGGTTTTTATGTGTCAATATTTGTGTTTCTATGCTTCAATCCAGTTGTATTACTCATTTGTGAACTCTGAATCTACAGAAAAGAAGATTATCTCGGACAATATGTGCAAAATGTGTTGTATATATAGGATCCTCGTCTAACGCCCTGTTTGGATCAAGTTAAATGTGAGGAGCTTGGAACATAAAAGTTGAAGTCCATTATAAAGACCTAACTAAATTTGTATAAAAAGCACTTAACAATGTCTTTTGTACCTGTTTTATGTCACATAATATCTTTCTTTTCTTCTGTAGGATAGCAATTGGTTCAAATATAAGCCTGTTGAGACTAAAATTGCATGCATGTTTTTCACTAAAAAGTGAAAAATCTTTGTATCAGACCATACTGTCTGCAAAAAAAGTTGAATGCAAGAGTCTTTTTGTGCTCAGATTTATTGTATCATGTCACCTGAATATAGAAATGATAGAAAAGACACAAAATTTTATTTCCTATAGCTTCAATATGCATTTTTAAATGTAAATATGTGATACGGCCTAAATTGACCCTAAATTATTTTCAGTCTTACTTGGCCTAAGACCCTTTTAAACTAATGTGATATGTTATTTGTAAGTTTTCTTTCCATTTAAAGTACATTAAATACATATGTAAGGATTATTTATAACCAAAAAGCTTTACAAATTTAAAATTGCTGGAAAATATTACATCTTCATGTAAGGCCCCCCTTCATTGGAAAACCTCCATTTTTAGCCACAGGCTCATATAAATTTGACTTTTTAATAATTATGATTAGTCTGATAAATCAAATGAGTACTCTATTGCTTTTAATACATAATATATTATATATTAAGGCATTTCAAAAGTATTTTTTTGCAATATTTTAATTTTTTAAGCCCCAAATGTTGATAGTTGAAAATTTTCAATTTTAACGTCTAAATTTAATACGCAAAGTTGAATATAGAATTAGTCATATTGTCTATAATATAAATCCTATTGCCATGAAACTTTGTAAGCAGTCTTATAATTTAATAAGCGTTGGGCATACCAAGTTTCATTAAGATTGGTCAACTTTTTCTACCCTACTAGGTGAAATCAGGAAATATAGAATCTGTACTTTGGCAACTTCCCTGAATGATTTGATGGTGTCAATTTATCAAATAGCATAAAACTAAAGGATTTAAACTTTTATTTGATAGAATTTCTGCAAAAATGACCAATTTTGGCATTTTATGGTCAAAATAAGCATTTCATAGCTTTTTCAATTTTGATGCATAAGTGGCATTCTGACTTTCTATCTGACAGGTTTTTATGTGTCAATATTTGTGTTTCTATTGCTTCAATCCAGTTGTATTACTCATTTGTGAACTCTGAATCTACAGAAAAGAAGATTATCTCGGACAATATGTGCAAAATGTGTTGTATATATAGGATCCTCGTCTAACGCCCTGTTTGGATCAAGTTAAATGTGAGGAGCTTGGAACATAAAAGTTGAAGTCCATTATAAAGACCTAACTAAATTTGTATAAAAAGCACTTAACAATGTCTTTTGTACCTGTTTTATGTCACATAATATCTTTCTTTTCTTCTGTAGGATAGCAAGTGGTTCAAATATAAGCCTGTTGAGACTAAAATTGCATGCATGTTTGTCACTAAAAAGTGAAAAATCTTTGTATCAGACCATACTGTCTGCAAAAAAAGTTGAATGCAAGAGTCTTTTTGTGCTCAGATTTATTGTATCATGTCACCTGAGTATAGAAATGATAGAAAAGACACAAAATTTTATTTCCTATAGCTTCAATATGCATTTTTAAATGTAAATATGTGATACGGCCTAAATTGACCCTAAATTATTTTCAGTCTTACTTGGCCTAAGACCCTTTTAAACTAATGTGATATGTTATTTGTAAGTTTTCTTTCCATTTAAAGTACATTAAATACATATGTAAGGATTATTTATAACCAAAAAGCTTAACAAATTTAAAATTGCTGGAAAATATTACATCTTCATGTAAGGCCCCCCTTCATTGGAAAACCTCCATTTTTAGTCACAGGCTCATATAAATTTGACTTTTTAATAATTATGATTAGTCTGATAAATTAAATGAGTACTCTATTGCTTTTAATACATAATATATTATATATTAAGGCATTTCAAAAGTATTTTTTTGCAATATTTTAATTTTTTAAGCCCCAAATTTTGATAGTTGAAAATTTTCAATTTTAACGTCTAAATTTAATACACAAAGTTGAATATAGAATTAGCCATATTGTCTATAATATAAATCCTATTGCCATGAAACTTTGTAAGCAGTGTTATAATTTAATAAGCTTTGGTCATACCAAGTTTCATTAAGATTGGTTAACTTTTTCTACCCTACTAGGTCCGGGTACACAGTTATCGTCCTTTGATTTTCGTTGTCCACGAATATAGTCCATAGTGTGGACAGTGTGTTACTTGTCGATTTTTTTTATACCCCTTCCAAATTTATTTCTCCATGTTTTATGACTCAAATAGTAAGTAGGGGGGTGAAATGACACTGTAAAAAAATTTGGGTCATGAATTTTAAAGTAAAGTAGTGATTTGGTCCAGCTGAAAAATGTTAAAATTAGCACTTCGGAAGCTGTCAGAAGATTTGAAGACCCCCTTAACATGAAATTGTCCATATTTTGAGTTAGAGCCGATGAAGTTTTCTATAATTTTGATATAATTTGTCCCAAAAGTAGTACAACACACTGTAAAAATATAATTGAGAAAGCGCAGGTGGGATTTTTTTAATTTTCATTTATTGTCTAAAAGAAATGCACTACGAAATAACTGTGTACTCGGACCACATTTACCGTTCTAGAGTTATGCCCCTTTACAAATATGTTTCCGTTCTCTAACTCGAGTTTGCCTCAACCAAATGTTATGAAACTTATGCACAGTGCTAATTACCACAATACACAGATCAAGTTTGAATTTTGTTGGCGTCACTTTTACTGTTCTAGAGGTATGCCCCTTTACAAATTTCAAAATGGCTGAAATATTTGTTTCTGTTATCTATCTTTAGTTTGCCTCAACCAAATGTTATGAAACTTATGCACAATGCTAATTACCACAAAATACAGATAAAGATTGAATTTTGGTGGCGTCACTTCTACTGTTCTATAGTTATGCCCCTTTATAAATGGAAAAAATGCTGAATTTTTCGTTTCTGTTCTCTAATTTAAGTTTATGTCAACTAAATGTTATGAAACTTGTAAACAATGCTTATTACCACAAAACTCAGATCAAGTTCAAATTTGGGTAATGTCACTTTTACAGTTCTTGAGTTATGGCCCTTTATAACGTTATATGCAAGCGGGGGCATCATCTGTGTCCCTTTGGACACATTCCCCATTTATTTCTTTCAAAAAATCTTCCTCTCTTAAAACCACTTGACCAATTTCAGCAAAATTTTTATACGACCGCTA